CCCGGAGGAGGGCTTCTCTGTAGCAGCTCCGGCCCGTTGGAACGAACTCCCCGCAGAGATTCGGACCCTCACCTCTCTCCAGGCCTTCCAGAAAGCTGTCAAAACCTGGCTGTGCCGGCAGGCCTGGGGGTGATGAGTTCCCTCCCCTCTCGACCTGTGTGGCTGTTGTGATTCTTGGTTATTTTAATTACTTGTACTGTGTTCTATGTTCTCTTTCCCCACTTTGAGTTGTTCGCCACCCTGAGTCCCTCCCGGAAAAGGGCGGCATACAAATAAAATAAATCTAAATCTAAATCTTTTGGTCACGGATCTTCTCTCTTCTCCATCAAGATCATCATCATCATCTTCATTTAACGACCCTATAATCCCTTGCCAAGTGGAGTCTGGGCAACTGAATTCTCTCTCTGGGCACGATGAGAATATACCTGCTGAATAAAACTCCATACTGGTGACAGGAAGGGCATTGGGCCAGTAAAGAGTGTTTACTGGCCCGATGCCCTTCCCTGTCACCAGTATGGAGTTTTATTCAGCAGATATATTCCCGTCGTGCTGAGAGAGAGAATATCTGCCTCTGCCTGGGATCGAAGTCACAGCCTCTGGATTTTGAGGCGAGAGTTCCACCTCGAGGCCACCACTCCTCCCCTCTCTCCCATCCTCTATTCCCTACAATTTTTCAGAGCGTCCTTGAAAAGCGGAGCGCCGCCTTCCTGTCCTCAAGGCAGCTTCCGCGGCCGAGGGTTTTTCATCCCGCCTTACCTGTCTTGGCTGTATTTAGAAGCTCGGTCGCTCCCACGGCCCCATGGACGGTAACATCTCCATCTGGAAGGCACAATTCAAACTCTTCCACGGGCCGTTGTCCAGCTTTGGAAAATGATAAAAAAAAGGGGGAGAAATGAAAAGGGCAAAGAAGCTTAATGAGGAAGAGGGTCTTCACCCACTGAAAGACAGCAATCTTCAGGTCGCTCGGAAAAAAAGGGGAGGGAGGCTTGAAACTCAGGGGTGGCATCGCCGCGGGAAAAGGGGCGCGGTAAAGGAAGTTAGCAACAGCAGCACGGCTACCCTTAAAATGGCCCAAACGGCAGGTGCTCCACGACTTACGACGGCCATCGAGTCTCCAAAATGTCTTGTTTGTCGAGTGAGAAACTGGTAAAGTGAATTTCCGCTCCGTTTTGTGACTTTTTCTTTTTTGGGGGGTTAACCTTGGGTTAAGCGAATCGCCACCGTTGTTCAGTTAGTAACGCGGTTGTTAAGTGAATCTGGCTTCCCTGTGGACTCGGATTGTCAGCAGGTCGATAAATGGGGACCGTGTGACTTTGGGTAGAATGGGACAAGTCAACTCTGCATGGCCAATTCGCTGCGGGAGAATTTAACAGTTCAGTTTAATTATTAACAGAGTTGGAAGGGACCTTGGAGGTCTTCTAGTCCAACCCCCTGCATGGTCAGGAAACCCTACACCACTTCAGACAAATGGCTATCCAACATCTTCTTAAAGACTTCCAGTGTTGGAGCATTCACCCAACCTCTGGAGGCAAGTTGCTCCACTGATTAATTGTCCTCACTGTCAGGAAATTTCTCCTTAGTTCTAAGTTGCTTCTTTCCTTGATTAGTTTCCACCCATTGCTTCCTGTCCTGCCCTCGGGTGCTTTGGAGAATAGCTTGACTCCCTCTTCTTTGGGGCAGCCCCTGAGATATCAGAAGACTGCTATCATGTCACCCCTAGTCCTCCTTTTCATCAAACTATATATCTGCAATTGTTCTTNGGGAGATTGGACCATGGGATGGACTTGTGAGTGTGGGGGGCGGGATCTTGAACTTTCAACGGGGTGGGAAAAACTGGGAAGCTTTCAGATTCGGATTTCCCCAGAAGTGCCAACATGTCTCTCTTAATCAATTGGAACTTTGAGCAATACTTTGCCTTGAACTCTGATTTACTTTCGGATGCTATTTGGAACCCGGACACCTGATCTACAAATATTCTTCTTCTGTTGGTCTGTGGGATGCTCGGTGCTGAGTTTGGTTGTCTGCATGCAGAGGTTGTTTGGGAGCAAACCCACCCTCTCTCGCACTGAGGATGTTACCTAGCTGGGCAATGAAACGTCCTCAAGGAAACAACCAAGCTCACAGAGCATCAATGAACACCCCCCCCAAGTTCAACTCTGAGCTACAAATAATGTGAGCTATTAGGGAACCCCCCCCCCGCCCCCTTGCTCTTTTATGTGAATTACTGGTCTGCCTGAAATTTTATAATCCCCAATGTCTTACTTTGAGAGCTGGAAGGAACCTTGGAGGTCTTATAGTCCAACCCCCTGCTCAGGCAGGAAACCCTACACCATTCCAATCTCCAAGAGATACCAATCTCTTCTTAAAAACTTCCAGTGTTGGAGCATTCACAACTTCTGGAGGGAAGCTGTTCCACTGATTAATTGTTAATTGTCAGGAAATTTCTCAATTCCAGGTTGCTTCTCCCCTTGATTAGTTTCCACCCGCGGCTTCTTGTCCTGCCTTCAGGTGCTTTGGAGAATAGCGTGACCCCCCCCCCCTCTGTAGCAGCCCCTAAGATGTTGGAACTGCTATTATGTCACCCCTAGTCCTTGTCTTCATACCCAGTTCCTGCAACCTTTCATTGTATGTTTTAGCCTCCAGTCACCCAATCATCTTTGTTGCTCTTCTCTGCACTCTTTCTAGAGTCTCCATATCTTTTGAGAGACCGCCTGCTGCCAATTACCTCCCAAAGACCCATTAGATCACACAGGGT